GTCATGACCTGAGCCGAAGGCAGTTGCCTCACTGGCCAAGTCACCCAGATGCCCCCTACCTCTACTTTCCAGAACATTTCACTCTAATAGGGTGAACAGGACCCCAGTTTGTCTCAGGATGCATATACTGAGCCCCAGCCCCCTTTGGAAGTGGTCAACTAGGATAGCCACTATCGAATAATGGCCCTGGCCAGAACCAGATGTAGGTGTCATGCAGCTGCCCAGGCTTCTGTTAGTGGTGTCTTGGCTTTGAGGACCATTAAGTATGTGTTTGGCCTGCAGGTGAACATCTTAGTACTATATAATGGGAATCTGGATACCATAAATATATTGTCATCTAACATCTTGATCTTTAGTGAGTTGGGTGCCTTGATTAGGAATTATTATATCAGAGCTATCTAGTACACAGATCCAACGATTTCCAGAAGAGTTTTCTTGCCTTTTAGCTATAAATAGCTCAGCACCATCTCCCCCAGCCCCTGCCCTCATTTTGAGCTATCATGTTTTTTTTCTTTTTTAAAGAAAAGTGCACGTGTACTTTTAGTTTAACAGATTTATCTGATTTTTTAAAAACTATTTTATTATTCACAAGAGACACAGAGTTGTAGAGACATAGGCAGAGGGAGATGCAGGCTCCCTGCAGGGAGCCTGATGTGGCACTCAATCCCAGGACCCCAGGATCACAACCTGAGCCAAAGGCGGACTGAGCCACTGAGCCACCCAGGCATCCTGATTTATCTGATTTTTGACCAGGAGTCATTTTTCTGGATGAATGAGAGGACCCAACACAGAGCCAATGGAACAATATAGGCAAAGCACGTAACTCAGCACTTGGGACATGGTGGGTTATATTAGTTTCTGATTGCAGCTATAACATTACCTTAAGCTTAGTGGCTTAAAACACAGATTTTTTTTTTTTTCTGACCATTCTGGAGGTCAGAAGTCCTAAAATTAGGGTGTCAGCAGAGCTGTGTTCATTCTGGAAGCTTTAGGGGAGAATCTGTTTCCTTGCCCTTTCCAGCTTCTGGAGGCTGCCCGCATTCCTTGGCTCATGGTCCTTCTTCCCTGTTCAAAGCCAGCAGTGTAGCATTTTCAAATGTCTCTTTCTGACCTTTGCTTTTGTCCTCATGTCTCCTCTAACACTGACTCTCCTGCTTCCTTCTTTTTACAACTTTTTATTGAGATAAAAATCCATATACATGAAATTCACCATTTTAAAATATACAATTCAATGGTTTTAATATATTCACAGTTTTTGCCTTCCATCACCACTGTCTTATATGAAATCCACCTTCCTTATAAGGACTTCTGTGATTACATTGGGCCTACCCAGTAATCCAGGATAATCCCCTGAATCTCACAATGCTTGTCTTAATCACATCTGCAGAGTCCCATTTGCCACATAAGGTAACATATTCCCAGGGACTGGCCATTAGGATGTAGACATTTTTGTGGATTTAGACATACCTACCACATGGGTACTTAGCAAACATTAGTGTCTCTTGACCTTACCTTCTCAATTCAGATACACTAAGCTCTTGTACTACAACTTTCTAGAGTTGTCATCATCAGAATCTTCTGAGCATCAATAAAGTATACTGTTCTCAAGAAATAGAACCACAATAGCTTCTGTAGCAGCTACTGTTTATTGGGGACCTAGTGTGCACTGGGTCAGTCAGGAGGGGATTCGGAAGCATGGCCATTTAGCTTTTCATGAGTTGAATTGCTCTTTCTGCTGGTATTCACCCTCATAATACCGTAAGTATGAAATTTAGCCACACGGCTCTAAGAGATGTGGTGTAATATAGCAGGCAATGACTTCTGGCTAATTGTCCATGGACCATATGTTTTATTTGAATTGAAAGATCAAAGGAATTGCTAGTGTTTCTTATAAAATTAAAACATACCATATGACTGAGCATCTCCATTCCTAGGTACGTACTGAAAAGCAGAAAGCCCATGTCCATGCAAAGGCTTGTGTTCGAATGTTCACAGCAACATTATTCACAATAGTCCCAAACCGGAAATAGCCCAAATGGCCATAAGTTGGTGATTAGATAAACAAATTGTGGCATATCCAAATAATGGACTACTACTCAGCAATTACAGAGGAACAAACTGATGATGATAATGTGGGCAAATCTCAAAATATTGTACTAGGTTGAAGAAGCCAAACACAAAAGCTATATAATGAAAGTATAAATGTCCTTGACACTACAGAACTGTACACTTGAGAATGGTTAAACGGCAAATTTCTTGGTATGTATATTTTACCACAGTTTTTTTTCCTTATTTTATTTATTCATGAGAGATTCATCATGCTCTGGGCTGAAGGCGGCGCTAAACCGCTGAGCCACCTGGGCTGCCCTTTACCACAGTTTTTTAAAAAGCTACATAATGTATGATTCTGTTCAGATGAAATTCTAGAAGAGACAAAACCATGGTGACAGAAAGCATATCTAGTTGGTGTCATAGTTCAGGGAGGGATAGACTATCCAAGGACGTGAGGGAATGTTTTAGGGTGACAGAAGTGTTCTATATCTTGACTGTAATGGTGGTTCTGTGCTGTATACATTTGCCAAGACTTAATTGATACACTTAAGGGTGAGTTTTATTGTTTCTAAGTTATAGTTCAGTAAAGCCAATAAAAAGGAGAAAAAAATGGCTAGGAATTTGATGGAGTTAAAAAAAATTCTGTCTCCTAGTAAATTGTTAAGAGATTTGTCTTTGCTGTTTTATAAAGCTCATGTACTAGATCATAAATAGTAAGAGGGTAATCCATTGCCTTTTCATCCCTCATTGGGTTACATGAACATGTTGAGTAACTGTAAACAGTATCTAATACATTTAGGGTTCACAAAATTATTTGAAAGTTGCCTTAATGAGAATGTTATCAACACTCAGTATTCCCAGAGGTAAAAGAAGGAAGACTTATGTGCTGTTTCCTACAAGTGGTCCTTTTTGGATTGAGTTTTGCCTACGTGCCACGCAGAGGGGTGATTCAGTTGAGGTATTTCATGACACCTTTGATGTCAACTTCATTTTGGAGTAAACATTTTAGGATACCATGAAGTTGGTAAGCCATTTTGATTAACATAAGATTGGTGCAAACATCTATATGTTTTATCATTGACCTCCTCAGTTCTGGTCCAATCTGTACCATTTTTTTAAAGGATTTTATTTATTCATGATACACACACACACACACACACACACACACACACAGAGAAGTGCAGAAACATAGGCAGAGGGAGAAGCAGGCTCCATGTACTGGGAGCCCGACGTGGGATCGACGTGGGATTTGATCCTCCAGGATCGCGCCCTGGGCCAAAGGCAGGCGCCAAACTGCTGCACTACCCACGGATCCCCTGTACCATTTTTTTTTTTAAAGACCTATTGTTATTAATCTCCCTGGGGTATTTGACCTTAATATCATCCCCTCTTCTCAAAAGCTTCTTTCTCCTTTGGCCTCTGGGAATACTATACCCTAGTGATGTCTCCCAACTGCTGGTGTGATCTCATTATCACTTTGGCCTTTGTCCCTCTGTCCTTAGGTCCCCTATGGGAACACAGCCCATCGCCCCATTTTCTCTAGGCTTGCCCCTGGGGGTATCTTATCCTTTCCTGTGATTAGTTGCTTCTGGCCCATTCAAAGCTCTTGCCCCAAGTTTTCCATCAACTTTGTCTTTTACTTCCAGTGACCTCCAGGCTATTTTCACCATCCTTTCACCATAATTTCTCCCCTTATTATTTCACCCCGTATTATTTCTAAACTAAATATATTCCCTTTTCTTCCATGTCTCCTTTCGTTTAGGGCTTTTCCATGCTCTTGAGACACTGCCAATCTTTCTCCCTCAGGTTTAAAACCTGAAGCTTGGCTACTTTCTCTTTTTCCCCCATCTCCTTTATTCAGTTACTGTTCAGATATTTTGTTTCCTCTGGGCTCTCTCCCTTCCTTTCCATCTTTTTGATACCATTTTAATCTTTATCTTTATTGTCAGAGATCACATGGTAGGTTCACATTCTTGAGTAGAAGCTGCTGGTCAGGATGACAAAGGAGGTTTGACAGTCTGGGGAGCCACTGTGTCACCCAGTCCATGTGTCTGAACCCTAGTAAATGACTGAATCTCTAGGTTCTGGAGCTTGGCTTTCCTCTTACCATGTATCTCTTGGGATGCTTTGGAAAAGCTCGTTGTACAGTGTCCCCTTTGCTACCATAGCCTCTGATATTTTAATGACAGGTTTTCCTTCTCTCATGAGTATATGACCATACTTCCCCTGTGCCCCACAGAACTCTGGTTTTTATCATTTTATGATGCCTTTGGAATAACTTGAGGTTTGCTGCTTTTGAGCTCTGCGCAGTTCCTAATTTCTCTTCCTTACATAATACTGCCTTAATCTTCCAACTGAAAACCAAAGCTGAAGCACCTGACATTGCAGATTTTCATGTACTTCATTCCTATTAATCACCAACTGTGTGGGTCTGTTTTTACCCCTTTTGTATTTTCCTCTGATTTTACTTGGGAAATAATAAGACTTTTTTTTTTTCATAAATTCTCTCCCAATGACCTGCATTTTTTTGATAACGTTGATATAAGGTGCTTTGAAGGCTAGGTTGCAGAGCTGAAGGAATGTTGGAAAATTTGTTAATAAGAGAAGATCCACGAAATGCAAATTATATTATCCTGCACTTGTTCTTCCCAAAGGGGAGGCATGGTGACTGCCTGTATTTCTTAGAATTTAACTATGTCCTCAGAAATAATATAGTCATACTTAAATTTTTTCCCACTTATTTTGGCAGCAAAATATGTGCTTCGGAAGTGAAAAGTTGATGAATTATTTCAGTGAATAGGCTATTTTAAGGTGTTTTATTTCAGTTATTTTTTTCATCAGAGAAATTTAGTAAACATGTAGCCAGAGCCCTGGAAATAACTGAATTTTCTGAATCACAATGTGATGCTGTGTTTATTTACTTTCCCTTTTATCTTTGGGCATTCTAGAGGGGTGTTTGATGCTTCCCTCAAAATGGCTGGCTTCTACGGACTGTACACTTGGCTGACTCATACTATATTTGGCATCAATATTGTCTTCATACCATCAGGTAACAGTAGTGTCATAACTTCCACTGTCCTCTGTTTAAGGAAAATTAAGCCATTTTACGTACATCGGGACATGCCATCCTCCTCAAGCTTAAAATACTAAATTTTGAGATCAAATCTATTCCAGATTAGGAGCGGAAGTATGATTTGTAGTGTGTATTTATGCTGTATTCCCATGAGCTAGAACGATACCCAGCACTTAGAAAGCAGTGCATAGGGATGTGTTAAATCAGTGAATGTCCTAGCATTTAGCACAACACCTAGTACATACTTGGCACTCAGTAAGGGTTTGAATTGAACTAATTGGCAGGGAGCAATGAGTTAGCTCTGTCCCCTGAAGGACACCATCCAAGGAGCAAGATGAATGTCTCTGAGAGCACACAAGCTATCGCCCTGCCTCTTCAGATCTATTCTAATAATAGGCTCATTCTGTAAGCACCAGGGTGGTTCAAAATCATTTTTCCCTCTACATTATCTTTGCTCCTCTCCTTATACTTTTCCTTCCACTGTTTCCATGTCTGCTTGTCTTCCTGAATATATCTGCCTTCCACATTTACCTGCTACCGCCATTTTTTCCCTTTCTTCTTTACATTCCCAGGTTCATTCATGTTCTTTCCTTCTTCTGTGTCCACTAAGCCACCCTCTGACGTGCAGGCTGCCTGCAAGCACACGGTCGTTGTTGTCTTATAACAACCTTGTGAGGCAGGCAGAGTAGATGGTATTCCTGGTATAGAGGTGAGAAATCAGAAGTTATCCAAGGTCACATCCCTGGGTAGTGGTAGGACCAGAACTAGAATCCACATCTGCTTGACTCTTGGTCTGGAGGGGAGCCAGATGAGAGAGAGAGAGGACATCCTGCTCTGTAAGGGGATGGACCTTACAGAGGTCCTTCAGCTGGCTGGACTCTTGGTTTTGTTTTTGTTTAAATTACATTTCTGTTTTATTAGAAAGGAACAAGATGAAGAGTTACATTCATCTCTGAGGTTTATAAACTAATTTCTAATTTGGCTTTGGACTCAGTACAAATTTTGACCAATGCTTCACAGTTACATGATAGGACTGTATATTAACCATTGATTCAAAATAACTGCGGGACACTAGAATTTTGTTGCTTAAGGAGAGATTCTTGGACTAGGCATGTGCTTTAGATTTTTAGCATCAACTTTTGAGATACATACCAGACCTTCATTTAACTAGAACATTCAGTTAAATTGCATTATCATGCACCTGAAATTTGAGTTTGTGTTTGTTTAATTTGTTTTGGTGTCATTGAGGAGCTAGTTGCTTAGGTTCCGCTGTGTTATTATTGTTTTGATGGAGATGTTAAGTTGCTTTTCTTTTCATCTTAGCTTTAGCAGCAATCCTGGGAGCAGTGCCCTTCCTAGGGACATACTGGGCAGCAGTACCTGCAGTTCTAGACCTGTGGCTTACACAAGGCTTAGGGTGCAAAGCCATCCTACTGTTGGTTTTTCATCTCCTGCCAACGTATTTTGTAGATACTGCCATCTATTCGGATATATCAGGGTAAGTCCACAGAACTTCTCAAGTTGCTAGTGGATCATATCCAGGGATTTATGTGGCCTTTTTTTAAAGAAGGGTTGTTTTGTTTTGTTTTGTTTTCCCTTTTGCAGATGGGAAAAGGTCAGAGGGTAGGACTTTTCAGTGAAGTAGTCTTTTGTGATCCCATTGATACAATCAAATTTTAATGTAATATAATTAATACCGTTTGCAAGGCATGCTATTTTGTTACATAAGTATTTATAATAAATGAGACCCTGTGTTAACACAAATTTTTGAATAATCTTAGTGATATTTAAGCTAGGAAAGAAATATTACTAGACGTACATAAAACATTACATTTTAAGTACAGTAATGAGTTAGTGGTTATTTTTAGAACTTCTATGCCTTTGGAGAAAAACTTTGAGTTGTAGGTCAGATTTTCCATGTGAAACCAAATCTCATCAAGTTAATGTCTGATAAACAGAGCTCTATTTACTTAAGATATTATAATATGGACCTAGAATGAGTACAGGCTAAATTTAGGACAGAATCTAGGCCTTGACCATATAACATAATAAATACATATCTGTTTTTATAGATTTTGAAATCTCTTAGAAATTGTATTAAATAAATTATGCCAGTTCTTATTTATTCATGTATCTAGATTCACATTGATTATTAGAATCTAGGATGTAACCAAATGCTGAAATTTCATCAGTTACTCAAATTCAGAATGTGCCTACTGAAACTATCATAATAGTTAGTATATTAAACATTTTTAAGTAAAATTCATCATCACAGTAAGTGTAGACAAGGGCTAAGTTCATAGAGTACCCATTAATTTGAAAATACATACAAATTATATGCCATCCTGTTTTCTCTCTAGTATTCTGAAATAGAAAACAAATGAAAGAAAGAAAGAAAGAAAGAAAACAAATGATACGTAACTACTCTGAAGCCCAGAGTTCCAGAGCAGAAAGAAACAAGCAACTCCATAAGCCAGCCTTAGGGAAACTTTTATGTTTAAAACTTGAGAGAGAAATTTACAGACAAAAGGACATCAAAACGTGGTTAACTAGTGCTTAACAGTTGAAATTTAGGGACGCCTGGGTGGCTCAGTGGTTAAGCATCTGCCTTTGGCTCAGGTCTTGATCCTGGAGTCCTGCGTCGGGCTCCCTGCTTGGATCCTGCTTCTCCCTCTGCCTCTCTCTCTCTCTCTCTTTCTCTGTGGGTCTCTCATGAATAAATAAATAAATAAAATCTTTTTTTTTTTAAAGAAAAACAGTTGAAATTTAAATAGTAAGAGTAGTCTTTTAAACTTATTAAATGTTTTCATTTCTCTTTACTGTAAATTTTTTATTAAAGTTTCTAGCTAGATTTTAAGATTTATATGTGATTTTATCTTAATAATAAAATAATACCTTATTTAACCAGCATTGTTAGGAAATGAAAGATTTTGTGTAAATTGTTTTATTTTTTAATAAATGAAGCCTTTGTTTAAAAGCTTCCACACTTTTTTTTTAAGCTTTAAGCATTTTTGATAGAAATTTTTAAAAAATGTATTATTTAGGGAAAAAGCTTGCTTACAAAGCATGTGGAATGCTTTGTGGAATACTGCCCTAAATTTTTTTTTTTTTGGAATGAGAAAGATAGATTATGAACATAATGTATTGATTTCCTGAAGACTAGCTAACCTTGCTTGTTACTTATTGAACCATTTATTGAATTATAACATAATACAGAATATTATTCCAGAGGTGTTTGCCCTTTAGTAAATTGTTCCAATCACCTCTGTCTGAAAACTAGAAATAGAACGTACCTTCTCTCCAAGTCCCTCTTGTGTCAATGGTCATTTGTTCTTGCTGTCAGTGTGCCATGCTGGTTGTCATCTATCTTACTGTTTTCCAGTTATGTAAGTGATCCTGTGGTAAGCTGGAGGGCGGTGATGACTCTCCTGTAAGATAGAAATCTTGGGCTTTGTGACAGGTAGTTTCCTCATGAGGCCTTTTGTCATTACCTGTATTTAAAAACTATTTTAGGATATTGCCCCAAGTCTAACCTGTGAAAAGCACGAGTGCTATTGTATTGCCTTATAAAAAGTGTAATTCTTTGAATTGCATGCTAAATTGTGTCTGCTTAACTGTCAGTTGATGGAAGTCAGTGTAATACATGACTTATGTAACCGGTCAGCACTAATCTAGGTCAGGCAGCCATGTAATGGGTATAGGATATTTATATACATTGTGACTTCACACCCTCTGTTGCTGAAACTTACAGAAAGGCAGATGTCCTATGTGTTACATAGGTAAGAAAATGCTTGCATTCAATATTATAACCACTGTTCAGTTATCTGCACTGATGTAATCTAGAGAAAGTTGGTCATGCAATCAAAGGCCTGGTGTGATAGGAGTGAAGATTGTTTTAGAGGTGTGTTTCCGATTTACTCTGAGTTTTGTGTTTGTTCAAAGCCCTGAGCTAATCTGTATGCTCTTTGTTGCAGAGGCGGGCATCCTTACTTGACAGGTTTGGCAGTGGCTGGTGGGGCCTACTACTTGGGCCTGGAAGGAGCAATCATTGGACCCATACTTCTCTGCATACTTGTGGTCGCTTCCAACATCTATAGTGCCATGCTAATGAGTCCTACAAATTCAGTGCCCACGCCAAACCAGACCCCATGGCCTGCTCAGACTCAGCGGTAAGTTAGAGCAGAAGGATCATGAACTGGGTATGAAACTGAATTATTCCATGTCTGTAGTCTTTTTTACCTGAGTATCCTGTCAGGATACAGGTATTTCAGTGCACATGGTCTGCTAAAGATTATAGAAAACTCTAAGTAATAGAAACCATTTGTTTGTAGATGTTTGAGTTTCAGATACCAGGAAAATTTTAAAACTAAATTGAGACAGAATTGTGCATATCATAGAAGACCAAAAATAAATAAACCATATAAAAAACCTCTTGGGGACATGATGTACCAGATTAAAGGGGAGTCAGGACAGTCAGATGCAGTGTAGGAGTCAGTGGGAGGTCCTGAATTAGTGGTGAGGAGAATCGATAAAGAACATTTATGGAACAGTTGGAGAAATCTGAATATGGGATATATATTAAATAGTTCTTTTTTATGTGTTAAATTTCCTAGTGTTAAAAATTTAAAAAGTGTTAAATTTCCTAGGCATGATACTGATACCTTTGTTGTGTAGCAGAATATCCTTTAGGGATAAGATGTCAAGATGTCTGCAACTTATTTTCAAATAGTTCAGCCAAAACTAATAGAGGGGAAAAGTGACTATAGCAACATACTAACAATTGTGAATCTAGATGAGTGACATTTGGTTGTTAAATGTACTTAGTCTTTCAGTTTTTCTGTAGGTTTCCACTTTTTCAAAATAAAAAGTTGGGGGAAAGATTTTGGTATGGAGTTAGAACTTGTTATTTTGCAAGTACAGTCAGACAATCCATAATTGCTGTCATCTGCTGTCACCAGCAGTTCATAAAATAAGTTTATGTAATATGAATTATAACTAAAAAAATTTCCCTGACTGTGTCAAAATTTTACAAAGCTTTTTATTGAGGTTTATCTTACATAGGCTGAGATGCACATCTTAAATATACAACTAGATGGATTTTTTCATATACACATACCCATGTAAGCATCACCTATATTAAGATAGAGTATATCCATTGCTCTAGAAGGCTTCCCCATACAGTTTCTCAGTCAGACCCCTTCTCTGCTAATGATCTGACCACTGTCACTTAGATTGGCTGTGCCTATTTTTGAACCTAAAAGAAATCCTGTAGTAAGTACTCCTGAATCAGGCCTCTTCTGCTCATGTGTGTCTGTGGCTTCCAATCACTTTGGTGCATGTACCAGTCATCCTTTTTTCATGCTGCCTAGAATTCCAGTACATGAATATACCAGTTTATTCATCGCAGTGTGATGGAGATTTGTGGACTTGCCAGTGTCTTCTGCGTAGACATGAGTATTTAGTTTGAGTATATACCAAGAAGTGGGGTGGCTGGGTAGACATCGGTTTTAACTTCAGTGGATACTACTTGTTAAACAGTTTTTCTTTGTGGTTATGCCACTAATCACACGGTAACAACAGAAAGGTAAGATGGACCTTTAACAATTAAAAAGTAAGAAATCGGGGATCCCTGGGTGGCTCAGCGGTTCGACGCCTGCCTTTGGCCCAGGGTGTGATCCTGGAGTCCCGGGATCGAGTCCCACGTAGGGCTCCCGGCATGGAGCCTGCTTCTCCCTCTGCCTGTGTCTGCCGCTCTCTCTCTCTCTTATCATGAATAAATAAAATCTTTTAAAAAAAAACAATTAAAAAGTAAGAAATCTTAACTTTTCAGAGACTCTACTACCTTGTCCTTATTTTTCTCCATTGGAAAATAATTTTTCCTGCATTGGGTCTTCTAGCGTAATGAATTATTAACGAGTTGATACTGAAAATGTATTTACTGAAACAATTTTATGTTTTTCTTAAAAATTCTTTAGAAACATTCTGCTTGGGATCCCTGGGTGGCGCAGCGGTTTAGCGCCTGCCTTTGGCCCAGGGCGCGATCCTGGAGACCCGGGATCGAATCCCACGTCGGGCTCCCGGTGCATGGAGCCTGCTTCTCCCTCTGCCTGTGTCTCTGCCTCTCTCTCTCTCTCACTGTGTGCCTATCATAAATAAATTAAAAAAAAAAAAGATTAAAAAAAAAAAAAAAGAAACATTCTGCTTATTTTGTGTAAAGTTTTGTATTTTCTGAAGAAAGGTGTTCTTTAACTCAGAATAGGTCAGATATAGTTCCAGAGTTAGACCCAGTTGATTAGAGGGCCATTTTAGCTAATGCAAGGCACTTACTGGATGGCAGGGAAAAGTCCGTTTCCTTAAAAAGAATAAAAAGAGGGGTACTTGGGTAGTTTTAACAAAAGCTTCACCATTTTGAAGGTGGTGACACTATGATATCTGTTTCTGCCTTTCTGTGGGTACCTAAGAAACCAGTGAACAGTAACTTGAAAGAATAGAGAGCCCATGATAACTGGATACCCTACTCCTTGGGTATCCATACAAGAAACCAAAAGAAAATTGATCAATATTTTGCTGTTATTTTAGAAAAAAGCTTTTAATGATTCCAAGTTAGAAAAGTAGGAATTGGTTTTTAAGGTGAGACAAAAACTGAATTCTTCCAAAGGCAAGTGACTCTTTCCCCCCCCCTTCTCCCTTCTGAAGGTAGAATGTGGGACGCCTGGGTGGCTCAGTATCTGCCTTTGGCTCACTTCGTGACCCCTGGGTCCTGGGATGGAGTCCCACATAAGGCTCCCTGACTCCTGCAGGGAGCCTGCTTCTCCTTCTGCCTGTGTCTCTGCCTCTCTTTCTGTGTCTCTCATGAATAAATAAAACTTTATTAAAAAAAAAAGAAGGTAGAATGTTATTAATTAGGTGGTATGGGTGTTAAAAATATAATGTGAAGGGGGATCCCTGGGTGGCTCAGCAGTTTGGCGCCTACCTTTAGCCCAGGGCGCGATCCTGGAGTCCCGGGATCGAGTCCTGCGTCGGGCTCCCTGCATGGAGCCTGCTTCTGTCTCTGCCTCTCTCTCTCCCTCTATGTCTATCATGAATAAATAAATAAAATCTTAAAAATATATATATATATAATGTGAAGGCTTTTATAGTCTTCATCTTTTTTTTTTCCTTAGAGGTTATGTTGTTGAAAGAGTCAAAAATTTCTGCAAAGCTTGTGAGAACTTGTGTGAGATCCTTTGCCTTTCCTCTGTCTTTCCTTTTCCCCTCTGAGAAGGACCACTTTTTATAAGGTTTTTTTTTTTGAGAGAGAGAGAGAGAGAAAGAGAGAGGGAGAGAGGGAGAACGAGCAGGGCAGGGGCAGAGGGAGATGGAGAAGCAGACTCCCTGCTGGGTTTGGAACCTGACACGGGGTGGATCCCAGGACCCTGAGATCATGACCTGAGCCAAAGTCAGATGCTTAACTGACTGATCCACCCACGTGCCCCTGAGAGGAACCACTTTTTGATTCTCATTTGATTTTTTATCTCCATTTCTTGAAATGGCGTGTTTATTTATTGTTTTGTTTTTTTTTTTTCATGAATAGGCATGATCTATTAGAAATCACCTTTTACTACCCAACCCCCACTATTAAACTGTGATATTGGTCTGATCAGTATTTGGCACTTAAATTATTATGACTACATAAATTACATTCCTATTTGAGCCTTCTTGTATATTCTGTATGTCTTTACTTCATACCACTTTTTGGTTTCCTTTGAGTTACACCATTTTTTTGTTGGCTTTGTTTTCTGAGTACTTATAGTTAGCCTCAAGCTGTGTGCCAGGTGTTTACATCTCCTCTTGCTCAGTATGCTCAGTTGTATCAGCTATACCACAAGTTTTACCTTCCTGATGAAGTCTCTAGAGTCTTCTGCTCCAGTGGATGCTGGCTGCCCTTTTTCCTGCTGTTCAGCTATCAACTGTGATTCCCTCAGCTCTCCCCTGTGTTGGAATTCTTACTTCCCTTACGATTCCCCATTTCATTTTCTTTTTTGATTTATTATTCCCTTTTTGTTGGAGCGCAGACTCCTATAGATTTTTGGGAAAGAATGTGTGGGGAGTGAATTTTGGGAGGATGGTCCTGTCTGGAGAGGTTTTTCCTAAAGTCATACATAGTAGCTTATCTGGGTAGAGAATTTTATGTTGTAAATGTTTACCTTTAGACTTTATTTCTTCATTGTCTTCTGGCCTCCACGGTGGTTGAAAGTCTGAAGCTGTTCTAATTCCTGAGTCTTTGTAATTCCTGAGTCTTTTAGGGTTTGAAACCCTACATGATGTTCTGTTTTACTTCTTTTGTTGTTGTTCTGATTGATATTTGGTAATACCTTTAAAACTGGAAACTTCCGTTCTGCAGATCTAAACTTTTTCTTGAATTATTTCATTTATGATTTCCTTCTCATCCTTTCAGAAACTTATTTTGATGTTAAGTCTCATATGCTGGTCATCTCATTTTCTTATCTCTGCCTTTTTTCCATTACTGATGTTTTGCCTTTGTTTTCTGGATGACTTCTTCAGTTTTATTTTCCAGCCCCTCCATAGAAATTTCCATTTTTATCACATTTTGAAAAATCTGGTTTATTGAGGTATTATTTACATTAATAAAATTACCTTTTTAGCATTCAGGTAGTTACTAGTTTTCTGTGATGCATGACAAATTACCACCTAGTGGCTTTAAAACAACATGCATTTATTCTTTCAAAGTTTCCGGGGGTCAGGAGTCCAGGCACAGTTTAGCTGGATCTTCTGCTTAAGGTCTGACAAGACTGCAGTCAAGGTGTCAGCTGGAGCTGAGGTATCCTCTGTGGCTCGGCTTCCAAGCTTGCCTTTTGTTAGCAGGATTCAATGTCTTGTGGTTGTAGAACTGAGGCTGGCAGGTCCTAGAGGTTGCCTCTCTCTCCATAGGCAGTTTCATAACATGGCTGTTTGCTTTTTCAAGGCCAACAACAGAGAGCATTTTTCTGATTTGTGTTTCTGACTACTCAGACCTCTTTTAAAAAGGCTTGTTTGATTAGGCTTGGCCTACCCAGTGTGCTCTCGTTTTGATTAAAGTCAACTGATTTGATTAAAGTCAATTAGCCTTAATTGCATCTGTAGAATCCCTTCACCTTTGCCATATTAACACAACATAATCACAGTTTCA